CAAGACCACTTCATTAAGCTGAAGTGGTCTGGGTGGCTAGAGTGGTCCTTTAAGAGTGTAGTGTAGTGTAGTGTAGTGTGTGTGTGTGTGTGTGTGTGTGTGTATATATATATATATTTGGAAGTATTGTGTATGTGTGTGGTGCAGTGTGTTGGGGGGGTTCTGTGTGTATGTGAGGGGTGCAGTATGTGTGTGTGTGAGGGTGCGGTGTGTGTGTGTGTGAGGGGTGCGGTGTGAGAGTGTGTGTGTGAGGGTGCGGTGTGTGTGTGCTGTGTGAGAGTGCTGTGTGTGTGATGGGTGTGAGAGTGCTGTGTGTGAGTGAGAGTGCTGTGTGTGTGTGAGAGTGCTGTGTGAGAGAGTGCTGTGTGTGATGGGTGTGAGAGTGCTGTGTGTGATGGGTGTGAGAGTGCTGTGTGAGAGAGTGCTGTGTGTGATGGGTGTGAGAGTGCTGTATAAATGTTATTGTGTGTGTGTGTAGGGGGGGGTAAATAAAAAAATAAAAAAAACAGTCATTATTTCCCCCCCCTCCCTTCTTACCTTTAGCCTGGGAGGGGGGGGACCGGCACGCTGGGACTGGGAGGCGGGGTCCGGCACGCGGTGTTCCCTGGTGGTCCTCGTGGGTGAGTGAACTCTAGCCTGTGAGGCTAGAGTTCACTCTCGCGAGATCCGGTTGTTGCCATGGCAACGCGCCGGATCTCGCGAGAGGAACCCGGCGGAGCTGCAAGTTAGAGCTCCGCCGGGTCCTCTCTCCAGCCTGGCTGGCTCCCTCCCTCTCTCCCCGCCGGCGGCCGCATGTGGGCCGGTCAGGGAGATCCTTGATCTCCCCACCGGCCCGTCGTGGCAAACAGCGGGGCCGGCGCTAGGAGAGTGCCGGCCCTGCATAGACCGGCAGGGGAGATCCTGGGACCTCCCCTGCCGGCCTCGGCCCATGGCCACCGCGGCCCACCGGGCATTTGCCCGGTGTGCCCGATGGCCAGTCCGGGCCTGGTCCCACAGGTCTCTCTTTAGATAGTTCCTATTTTGGGCATCTGTCTCTCTTTCTATTCTAATGTCCCTGAGGGTAGTCGGCTCCGGTGACATGACTAATGTCACTGAAAGAGTGACAGCCTTCCTTCACAGACACCTTACAGAAAGTACCATGCATGGAATGCCCTCTCTGCATGGTCCTAGTGCCCGCTGCACTGTGTGACTTGCATTTGCAGCCCTTATCGTCTACTACAGCCCCTATCCCCATTTTACACCCCATACTTCCACGTCAGCTTCTATTTCCTTACTACAATCCTTACCTCCCCCACTACAGTCCCATATCACCTCCACTATAGCCCCTCTCCCCAAATTGCCGCACATATCCCCACAATACAGCCAATTTCCCCAATTGCAATCACCAACCTTTTTTTAGCCCTTTTCACCCCTACTACAGTCCCTATCCCCACTACATTTCCTAACCCTCCAATTACAGCCCATATCCTCCACTACAGCCCCTGCCCCTACTCCAACCCATACACCCTACTTTAGCTTTGAACTCCTCAATTACAGCTCCTATCACCCCACTACAACCCACTACCAGTGCCCCTCTCAGGATAAGTTTTTGAATCCGCCCCTGCTCTGTATGTCTATGTACAACTCTAGGTCTGTGTATGACTGTATATGTATGTCTTTGTATGCCTGTGTCTGTATGTGTTTGAATGCAGTGTTCTGTATATCTCTGTATGACTGTGTCCATATGTCTCTGTATGCATTGTTATGTATGTCTCTGTATGACTATATGTCTGTGTATGTATGTCTCTGCATGCCTGTGTCTGTATGTCTCTGCATGACTGTATCCATATATTTCTTTATGCCCTGTTCTATATGTCTGCATCTTTATGTCTCTGCATGACAGTGTCTGCATGTCTGTGTGTGTCTGTATGACAGTGTGTCTGTGTTTGTATGACAGTGTACCTGTATATGTAGATTGTATGACTGTGTGCCTGAATGACTGTCTTTAAGGTCGGAGTGAAGCAGAGCTGGAGGAGAGAGTAGAGTGCTGCCCTTTAGGAGAGAGCAAGAGACAGGTATCGAAGATAGAGGTTACTCTGAGAGGCCATAAGCTTTCCTAACACACTTCGTAAATGATTGTATAGGGGAGAGTCTGATTGGGGTAGGCAGGCTATTGTCACGGGTGGCGGTCAGGGCCAGATTAACAACCCAGTGGGCCTGGTGCTGACAATTATGACGGGCCTAATTAAAGAATCATATCGACCAAAAACACTAAAACACTCCCAAGCGTCATGTATCTGATGGAGATGGTGCTGGAGAGAAAAGAAAACAGCAGCTATAAGAAAACACATACCCTAGGCTAATCTCCCTCTAATTTATGTTTTCATCTTTCAAGTAAATCCATAACCCCTAACAGCAGTGTCCAGTCAAGCAGGAAGTCAATGGGCATGGTAAAACGGTGTGCCACTGACAAATCACGTAACCTGCCAAGAGGGGCAAACATGCCCAAAAAGAGGACGTCTGCCCAAAGAATTAGAAGGCCAGCCTGGCATGAATGCATGTCAGACTGCCTGCTAATCATGCAGCTAGCCAACTAAGGGCATACTATGCAGACAGCACCCTGAGCTTGGCATAAACGCATCTAATGATGCGCTCGCTCAACGCTTTCTAAGGACTGTCCCCTATCACTCTCTGGTCCACTTGTCTCCTTACTAGCAGGTAGACGCTCCTGGTATATAGTCTGGGACAGAGAAAAGCTGTATGTAGTGAGTGTAGAAGAAAGGGAACATGCCACAGTGTTAGAGAGACTAAAGTCAGCATTACCATAAAGGATCACTATAGGGAATTCCTGTCCCTATAGTGTTAACACCACCATCTAACCCCCCTGGGCCCCTCATGCCTCCATAAATATAGTAAAAATCTTACTGTATTCAAGCCTGAAGCTGTAACTCTGCATGCTGTTAGACTCATAAATACAAGCAGTCTGTTGACATCATTAGAAGTGACACTTAGTGTTAGTACCAGGTGACGTAGTAGAGGAGGGACCAGGGTTTGGAGAGACATCACCAGCTGCTAGGAGCAGTAGGATGGAAAGGAAGATAAGGTGAGAGTAAGACTTAAATGTTTAAAAAGGCATATTGTGCAAGAACTAACACTAGCAAAGCAAACGTTTACCAATCAAGAGTTAAAGGGACACTATAGTCACCCAGACCACTTCAGCTCAATGAAGTGGTCTGGGTGCCAGGTCCCTCTAGTGTTAACTCTGCCTGCTGTAAACATAGCAGTTTCAGTTTACATTTGGGTGGACAGCCACTAGAGGTGCATCTGCGACGCTGGAGGCATTTAATGCCTCCATCACGCAGAGCGCCCATAGGAAAGCATTGAAAAATGCTTTCCTATGGACACTTTAAATGCGTGCGCGGCACTGCTGCGCATGCGCATTCTGCTCCGCTGACGTCAGATGGGGGAGCTGACATCGGCCAGGGAGAAGAGGTAAGGGAGCCCTGCGGTGGAAGAAGGTGAGTAACTCAAGGGGTTTTAACCCCTTCAGCACCGATTTGTTTTCCTGACACTATAGTGATCCTTTAAGAATGGAGGGTGCAATAGTCATCAATTAAGCAGTAATACTGTAGGGGATGGAGATAGATAGGAATAAAATTTAAAATAGAAATAGGAAAAATAAGAAGTCCAGGTATCCTCAAGATGATCATCCAGAAATGCTATCTTTGCTTAGGAGAAATCCTGCAGGGTTATATACACACACACACACATATATATATATATATATATATATATATATATATATATATATATAAATAGCGAGGGCTTGCACTCCTGGTGTAATCCTGTGGTGCCTGGTGCTGGTCTGGCAAGGATCATGTAGACATAGCAGAAATGACCGCACTCCAAGGACTTTATAGAGATTTTCAAATACAATTTAGCTTTTATTCAATCAATCCATTTAAAAAGTCTTTTTAAATGGATTGAATAAAAGCTAAATTGTATTTGAAAATCTCTATAAAGTCCTTGGAGTGCGGTCATTTCTGCTATGTCTATATATATATATATATATATATATATATATATATATATAATTTTGTTCTATGTATCTGTCCTGATGAAAGCTCCGTGTTGGAGCTGAAACGTTGATATTTTATATGGAATAAATAAAAGCTAAATTTTACTACTTCAACGAAAGTCCCAGGAGTACGATTGTTTCTACACCTATATCTACTTTTGCCACAACCAGCACCGGGCATTACAAACGTCTACTCGGAGTGCAAGCTACAACCATGTGTGTGTGTATATATATATATATATATATATATATATATAAATTTGTTCTATGTATTTTGATATAATAATAATAGTTTAAGTCTAAATATATTTATGTATTATTTATATGTAATAATATTTTCATTAGTTATATATTCTGGGATCTGCTTGACAACCCAGCCAATCTTGCTATCTAGAGGGAATGCCTGGGTTGTCAGACAGTACCTCCGATCGGATCCAGCAAGGAGGGTGAGTATGGTGAGGGCGTGCTATGCTGCCCTAACGACGTTAAAGCCCATCTTTTGAAGGATGGCATGGCATGTCCTAACGTCGGGAAAGAGTTAAACTTTAACAAACGTGTTTAGAAATAAATCTGTGTAAATAAGATACGTTGTTCTTATTTTAAATTACATTTTAGCTTCATAAATTGTTATTAGGAAAATTTCTCCTCACCACACCCACGCTCACTGTACTAAACTTATAATGCCCTGCTTTTTAATTTTGACATGTTTGGAGTATTTTTTCCAAGAAGGAAAGAATTAGCAATTTATTATTGTTTGTTATAATTTTAACACTATTATTTTACCATATGTTATTGAAAAATGACCACTTCAACCCGCAGTTTTGTCAACAGAGCCACGAGAAGTGATATCAGAACAACTGAGCAACATTTTCTGTTTGACTGAGCTTTGTTAAATAAAGTTGTGCTTGTTTGACACTTTTGCCATCTTGCCGCAGGGGTCGCAGGGAGTTGTAGTTTCACTTTCCAAGTCCTGCTCCTCCTCTCATGGCCGGCTCTGTGGGGCCGCACGGAGCAGTGGATTTGGTCGGAGAGGGGAGCTGGGGAAATCCAGGCACGGAGTGGCACAAGGAACCGAGTTAATCGGCATGAGGTGAGGGAGCGCTCGGGTTTGGCGGAGGTGACCGTCCCTACATGGTGGGAGAGCCTGGGCAGCATGCAACACAGTTTGGGTGCGGGCCCGGTGAGCAGGCTTTGTGATGATCAGGAGGCCTGGAGATTGAGAAGGAAGTAGTGAGAGTGGGCAGAGAAAGAGAGGGAGGGGAAGCTGTGTTTACAGTGCTGGAGGGGGCCTGAGTATTGATATTTTATTATAGGTAATATCACAGTTAGATGACTTATTGTGTATGTTGGGGTATATATATACTGCTACATATATCTTCTGTAATCAGCCCAGAGCAACCCTTAACCTGCTGGGTGTACATCATTCTTCCTACAAAGGTTGAAGCATCTATAGACAAAGAGGGGTTTGGCATTTGATCTAAGATCAAGACCTGTCAACAGTCTGCTCACTGTGACACCTATTTTCAGACACTCTCATTCTATATTCTTGAATGAAATGTTACTTATATATTCATTGATGTCCTCCCATCATACTATTGAATCATATGTTTGATATATTTTTCTTGTTTTGAGATATATGGAATTAAAAAAAAAAAAGGGGGGGGGTTATTTTTATAATTAAAAAATGTGTGGAGTTTTGCTCTCCTATTGTAGTGTAGAGCCCTCGGCATCCCCACTCCCTCACACCCCCCTGCAGTGGTCAAAGAAAAGGTTAAAAACCCTTTATTTACTTACATTAGCCCAGCTCAGATACCCCTCGGAGCTGAATCATGCCTCCTCTGAAGTCCCATGACGAGCTAGTGCTAGTGCTCATATGCGGCAAATGCCGTGCGCGTATTAGACCTTCCTATAGGAAAGCATTGAATCCATGCTTTCCTATGGCGAAAAATCTGACGCTGGATGTCCTCATGCAAAGCTTGAGGACGTCCAGCATCCGTTACCGGACCAAAGGTCCGTTTGGATACAGGAGCAGCCTCCAGTGGCTGTCTGGGGGACAACCACTGGAGGCAGACTTGGTGCGGCAATGTAAACACTGTAGTTTCTCTGGAACTGCAATGTTTAACATTGCAGCACTAAGTGCTATAGGGATACTGTACCCAGACCACTTCAATAGGCTGAAGTGGTCTAGGTGCCTAAAGTGTCCCTTTAATGTAGGGATCCTCAGGACCTCCAATCTAATAGACTTTTGCACAAATTCTTTTCATCTAGGACAAACAAATCAAATTCCATTCAGTGTACACCCAAAAGAATCTATCTGTCCAGGATTTACCCATGGAGTCTTATTCACTGAATAAAACTCCACTGGTAAATCCCAGAATAATCTCTTGCAGGGTAGATTAAAAATTATTTCATTTTTTTTTTTTTTTCAGAATAAATGCATTTGTGCACAAGGGACACTGTAGTCACCCAGCCCTCTTCGTCTTAATAAAAAGGTCAAGCTGCAGTGGTCCTGTTGCAGGGTTAAAGCAGCTCTGTCATGATAATATATATTTTATGCCTTCCCCCCCCATCCCCAGTTCCTTAACTCCTCAATGTCCCAATCAGTGTTTATTCGCTCCTTATTCATGCCAATGTGCCTTAAATTTGCAATCTTCGTGGCGCTGGATACTCAGCCACTAGAGGCGCTTCTATTGCAGTGATAGTCAAACTTGTTCATGTGATGGGAAAGCATTGATTCAATGCTGTTGGGGTGTGTATGTATGTGTGTGTGTATATATATATATATATATATATATATATATATATATATATTCAATGCTTCCCTAAGGGAAAGCCTGAATGCTTGCGGCAAATCCCTAATGCTCTTCTGTGATGATCATTGGATTGGACCATCACAGAGGCGGCAATGCCTTTTCCCTGAGATTGTGAGAGGTGAAGAGGTCAGAAGAAAAAACTTTAAAATTGTATTATTGTGACTAAGTGTCTACTATAAATGACTGGACATACCCCATTTGCAATACCATGTCTTGTCTACTTTTGCAAATGGTATGCCATCATGGAGGTAATTCTCATTCCTGGGCTACCATACGGTCTCAAAGGCAACGTAACCAATCTGGCAAATTTCAATGTGAAAAAAATGAAATGCAAGCCTTATATTTGACCCTCTAATTTACCAAAACACCATAAAACCTGTACATAGGGGGTACTGTTATACTTGGTAGACTTCACTGAACACAAACACAAGTGTTTTAAAACAGTAAAACATATTACAACAATAATATAGTCAGTAAAAGTGCCGTTCATGTGTGAAAAATGCAAAAAACTTCACTTTTACTAAAAATATCATCATTGTAATACAAGTTACCATTTGAAACACTAATATTTCATCTGCCATGCTGGAGAAATGCTTTCCTATGGACACTTTGAATGCGCATTCGGATCCGCTGACGTCGGCAGAGGAGCTGAGCCCGGCGCTGGAATAAGGTAAGTTGCTGAAGGGTTTTTAACCCCTTCAGCGCCACGGGAGGGGGACCCTGAGGGTGGGGGCACCCTCAGGGCAGTATAGTGTCAGGAAAACCGCTTTGTTTTCCTGACACTATAGTGATCCTTTAAAGGCCCACTCTACACTCAAAAAGGAGTGTCCAATTTCAAAGGCATTTTATAAAAGTGCTGACTTCCATAAATTATCACTTTTTATGATTAATGAAACACCTCCATGGCTGTCATTCACGCCGCTAAGGAGGTTTGCTTTTTGCTCCCCTGAGCTAACTGAAGTTTCAGGTGTGCACGCCTGCCTACCTCTGCATACCTCCTTCCTTCAAATCACTTTATTTAAAATGACATGATACAGATTAAGTTATGGTACACACATAAAAATACACTAATCTTATCAGGCTACTTAAAATCGCGTATCTAAGAAAACAAATATGGGGATTCCATATTTGCTTAATTCTAATTCCTAGCTTAATTCTTTTTGTATTTATTTAAGATTACATGAATTTGGTGCTTTGTGTAGAAGTTATAGTGCTTAGAGAGTTCCCTTTAATGAATGTCAGAATTAAAATTTCTATTCCTTTAGCCAATTTACCTGATTTTTGCAATTCAGAACTTGGTGGATATCCCCTGCCAGAATGCTTTTTAAGATATCCAAACTACCACCAGTATCTCTGACAATGTTTAAGGGACATGTGACAAGTTTTTTTAAACCAGCAAGCAAAGACTTTTAAACATATACGAGTTTCTTCAGCTCCCCCACCCTTTACAGACACATCTCCGTTTCAGACCAGGCTAGTAATGACCGAAACAGGGCACTTTGTGCAGTAGAAGTAGAGAAAAACCCATCATCGTTTTAATCAAACTGATCGGACTCCCTCTTTTTTTCTCCCATGTTTGTATCTTCCAACTGTGTTAACATGTATTAATCTGTTAGGAATGCCTAATGCAGTTTTCCAGTATTCCTAGGTACAGGACACTGATTACAATGCAGTTTTCCAGCATTCCTAGGGATAGGACACGGATTATATCAGTGTCTGCCCTGGAGTGGTTGTGGAAAACCTATGAAAGAAGAAGCAGGTAAATATGAAGAAATCATATTTACCTGCCTTTTTCAGTCTACAGAATGAGGCGACTGTCTCATTCAATGCTGAAGCTTTTGAATGAGGCAGTTGTCACTTTAAGGTTTCCAGTTTTTGTTGCTTCTCTCAGCAGTATTGTTTTCGGACCTGCTTACAGAATGTTTTTGCACAGCGTTCATCAGTACTACACTGTTTGGTCCATACTATTCTGTAGTATATTCTGTGCTCAATCCATTGCTTTGAAAAAGACTAATTGAGAGCTGCTATGTGTTTTGCACAGGACTGTATTTTAAGATCTACGTGTCTGTACCAATCAGATTTTTTTTTTTTCTACTCCATTTTTATTTTATATTTTTCCACTTGAAATATTTTTATTAGTTTTACAGAATTCAAGTATACAGTAGAATACGTCAGCAACACACATATAGGTGTTTTGAATCACAACATACTTCGTATACAATATTGCATTGAAATACAACAAATAAGAGTGTTGCTCAAGGTTATCTAGGTTTTATTTTCTTATTAATAGTTTCATTTGAAGTATGTATTGGCCTATTTTTCAGCCAAGATAAAGATTGGGCTAATTGCATACCATTCCATAGATAACTGTTCCTAGCAACATTTCTTTATATTTGAAAATGCATTGTGCTGTGATTCACTCTGTAATCACCAGAAGCAAAGAAATGTGACTATGAATATAAATGCTGGACTGTTAATTTGAATGGTTTCCCTCAAGTACCATAAAGCTTTGGATACCTTTCTTTTTTTATCACAGTAATACATTTCATTTTTTTCCCCAATCTCTAAGAATATTTGTGGGAGTTGTTACATTTCTATGAGTAGTTGTGATCAATGGTTGTAATTGTTTTGATGATTTCTTTATTAAGGGATGACTTATTATAGTGGCTATGGTTTTAGATGTCTTTGGTTTTAGTCTCACTAGGCAAACTGTTTGTTACTGGTTGGAGAAAAAGAATGTCTCACTCGGCTTCTAAATCCCAATTCTTCTGCTACAGAAATAATAATGTGATAGCTGTACAAATTTGTCGAAATTTGGGAACCAGTGATGCAGTGGTTCACCCCATACCTTGGCCCTACTGTAAGTAGTCAACGTAGGAAGTTTTTAACATCTCTAAACCAAATTTATTGGCTGAGCAGGTTTAGCTGAATCTCTCTGTAAAGAGTACTGTAAAAATCTGTCTCAAATTAATATATCTATTGTGGAAGGTGAACTTACAGTTTTCATATATATCAGAAGAGGAGACTGGACATGAGGCAACTGAGGGCTGAGATAAATGTCATTTTTTTATAAAGCAGTTTGACTATTTACCACAGAGTTGTGCGATAGGCTCCTGGCATCATATGCCATTTATTTATCTTATTTAAAGACAGGTAGCTGGCATTAATTTAGCTTTTACTTTTGTCAATCGTTAATCAAATGACGGTTCTATATAAATGTCCCTTGGTTTTGTCTGGATACCTCTAGAGGTATGTGTCGACCCCTGGTGGAGTAACTCTTCCAGCAGCAGAGGGGTTAAACGTTGTATTAGCATTTCATAGTGAAACACTGCATATACAGACTCCAGGCACCATGGCCACTTCAAAACACTGCTAAGGCATTCCATGTAAGAGTATAGTCTGAGACAAGACAAGATTTATGTGACCGCATACATCATTAACCCTTTAATGGCTACAGACCTAAAGTGTATGTTTGTGTCATCATGCACTTAGTGGCCTAGGATTTACAGTGTATGTCCATTGCCAAAAGTACTTTTTATAACATGTGTCTCACTGTGATCTCTGTCACAGTAATTCTATTCCATGACTGATTCCAAGTTGCAGCTTTGAAGCAGTCCAGTAATAGGGGAGTGGTTGGACCCAAGGCTACCTGTGGTGATAACATTACCTGCTAGTTGAGGCTTGTGATCAGTCAGGCTAGGGACCAATCTGCTAAATAGCATATTGTTCAGTGCTAAATATGTGGTGAAGTAGATAGTGGTGTAGAGCCTCCCTACGTCTAAATTTCATCTTTAGGAAGCAAGCAGAGAGCCAGGCCAATATTATGTTATGTTATGTATCAGTTTGACCCTATAAGTTCCTCAGAAATATAACATAGGTGTATACATGTGGGGTATTACTTACATTGGACATGCAACCAAATATTAATCATGAATCTTTGAAGTAGTAAAACACACCAGGCCTCTAAAATGCATGGGAAAAAAAAGTTTACTGTTTGCTTTGGAAGAAATTGGTGATGAAATGGGCAAGTGAAAAGGCTTAAAATGTTCTATATTAAATATAAAGTTGCCTTCTTTTCCAAGTGTTGTGATATGATGAGGGTTAAGTACAGTTTTTTTTTTGTTTTTTGTTTTTTGTCCTAAAATTGACATGGGCCTTGTAAATTGTTGAAAGTTCCAATGTGAAAACTGAAAAACAGTTTTCAATTTAGTAAGACAGAACCCAGTTTCAACAGAAGAATAATATTCACAAATTCAAAAACATATACCTTTCTTTCAGGAGTGGGGAATTATTACCAGACTCCTGAGATGTGCCAGTCAGGCAGATAATTATTTTTTATTTTATCTCCCATTTAGATCCACTTGACAAATGACAAGGCTGCTTCAGGGTAGTCTTGGGGGGAGCGAGCGTTCTTGTCCACAGCCTAATGCAGAAGACACTCTCAAACTTAGTCAGGGTAGCAAAAGTGAAAGCTTAGCTGACTTAGAGGTTTTTATCCAGTTCAACTATTGTGATCTTTAATTTGAAATTAACTTTGAATTTACTTCAGTTTGCTGAAGTACTTTGTGTGAAGAGTGTGTACTTTTTCTTTTTACAAAAGTACAGGTAGTTCATATAATACACATCCAATTTATATCCTCATAAATTTACACTCACATTTTATTGCGTCTGTTGGAATAATTGGCACAGGTAAATCCGCTTAGGAGTGTAATAGGTGGATTTCAGTCCAAATAGAGATGATCTTGATCCTCAGAAGGGAAAAGTATAAAGAAAGGCAACTCCAGTTATAATAAAATCAATAACATTTATTACACATCAAAAAATAATTCTTACATGGAAAGTTACTAGCATGCCACACAGTCTCTCCTTGAAAGCACAATGCGTTTTGACCCCTGCTGGGTCTTCTTCAGGTTGAGATATGTGGCTGTCTGGTACACATTTCTTTTATATAGCCTATTTGGCAATTAAACCACTAGCCACCAACATGGAAAAATCAGGTAAAGCCCTCCTATATCCATATATGGTCTGATTTTTATAAGCACATATTTTATCACTTTGTGTTTGTTGTGTTCATACTTGGTGGAATTGTCGGGATTGGCTCCACAAATGATCAGTAGCTGCATGCTCTGAGCGCCTCTTTATATTGCACTTTTTTCTGTATTTGTATTTTACATACACACACACACTCTCACAAGATATTTATTATTTGAAACACACACAAAGAATCATAGATGCACACAGACAAATATATACACATAGACATACATGCATGACAGATATACACACAGAAAAAAAGAAAAAAAAAAGTGAATACATATTTTTAGCCAGTCTCTGGTTTCCTACCTTTTGGGCGCAGGAGAGGGGCTTCCCTGGGGTCCAGTGGGACTGGGCACGGCTGGAGACTTTAGATTGGTGGGGCTGGCTGTGGCTAATGGGAGCGGGCTGCCACTGGTTCACCACCTGTCTCGATATCACGTGCAGCTCACTGTGCGCCGGGAGGAAGTGAAGGGATCTGCAATTACTTCCTCTCGGCGCTGAGGCCGCGCAGGGGAACGATTGTGCAGGCGGTCGGGGTCTGTGAAATTTGGGCGGGTGGATGGTCGGGTCTGTAAAATGCGGGCAGTTGGGTCTGAAATGGGGGTGGGCGGCAAACAGAGACAATTTTACCAGGTGTACTGCTAGCTTGCTAGTTCTCTGTGCGGCCTCAGCGCCGGGAGAAAGTAATTACAGTTCACTTCCTCACGGTACACTGGTGCACAGAGCGCTACTCGAGGATTGCGAGATATACCCATCTTACAGATCTTACTCTTCGGGATCGGATTCGAGGTCATAGATCCACTATTACAACTGCATTCAGAGATCAGAAAGCAGATAAACCGGTCGCGAAACACTTTCTTCAAGCGACACAGACTCCCTACATTGAGATTTACAGCCATTGACCATGTTCCTCCCAGTCCTAGAGGAGGTGATAGATCTAAATTGTTACTTCAACGAGAAACATACTAGATACATCGTTTGGACGTTTGGATACAGTCACTCCTAAAGGACTGAATGAATATATATCATTCTCTATGTTCCTTAAACAGTATGCATCTTACTCTAGTATGGTTTAATGTATCATTTTGAGTCTTTTTGTATACACGCTATGAGATGCTGGTTTACAGTTAGTGTCAAGCCTTCATTGATTTAAGTATAGGGTTGACCAACCCCAATTATTTAATATTTCTGATGTAGTAATCTGCACTATATGATGTGAGATCTGTACTGTTCACTGTTTGCACATATTTTTATCACAGTTCACGATACTTTTATTCCATTCACTTTTTATGCACGGCACTTGACAAACAGTGTCATTTTGACACTTCGGTTCAGAGCCTCACATCGCTATTTAAATACCCAGAGATCTTCCATTTGATTTTAATTTAGAATTTTTAATCCACTCTGTGGTCACCTTACAGATCACTGGACACTGGTTATTTATCTTTACATTTTGATAACGGATAGACACTGCGGTCACGTTGGTTTCTAAATCTACGCTTATCACATTGTATACACTCTAGCACCTAGCAACCACGTAGCACGTCTAGACGCATGCCGGGGAAACCACGTGGGTCTGTGTGACACTTCCGGGTTTGAATGAGCTGCCGCACACACGAGATTGGTGAGTCAATATTCTTTTTATGTATTTAAACTTCGTTTGTTTCACGAGTTAGTTGATCTTGAAAAAGACCCTTAGGGGTCGAAACATCGATCAGGATTATTTGCACTATGTTGTAAACTATGTTGTCACAATAAATACACCGTGTTGAAGTCCAGAGTGCTCCATCTTATCATTTTTTTTCTAGAACTGTGTTTAACCCTGTAACTTTCTATGACACCCTAAAACCTGTACATGAAGGGTACTGTTTTACTCTGGAGACTTTGCTGAACACAAATATTAGTGTTTCAAAACAGTAAAACATATCACAGAGATGATATTGTCAGTGAAAGTTTTTTTGCATTTTTCACACACAAACAGCACTTTCACTGATATTATTGCTGTGATACATTTTACTGTTCTGAAACACTAATACTTGTGTTCAGCGAAGTCTCCTGAGTATAACAGTACCCCACATGTAGAGGTTTTATAGTGTTTTTTTATAGTGTTTGTGAAAGTTACAAGGTCAAATATAAGGCTTGATTTTACTTTCTTTTTTATTTATTTATTTATTTTTTAATTGAAATTTGTCAGATTGGTTATGTTGCCTTTGAGAGCGTATGGCAGCCCAGGAATGAGAATTACCCCCATGATGGCATACCATTTGCAAAAGAAGACAACCCAAGGTATGTTCAGGCTTTTTTAGTAGCCACTTAGTCACAAACACTGGCCAAAGTTAGCGTTTTTTGCATTTTTAACACACAAACAAATATAAATGCTAACTTTGGCCAGTGTTTGTGATAGGTGGCTACTAAAAAAGACTGCACATACCCCATAATGAATACCCTGGGTTGTCTACTTTAAAAAAAAATATGTACATGTGGGGTGTGATTCGGGGATTTATGACAGATAACTGTTACAATGTCACTAATGATAAATAAAAAAAAAAAATATATATATATATATATATATATATATATATATATATATATTGAAACAGCAATTTCCTATTTGTACTTATAGGCCTATAACTTGAAATAAAGCACGTACACACTGGGTGTTTTTAACCCCTTAAGGACCGAGGACGGTTCAGGACCGTCATCGGCATTTTTGCATTGCCGACCGGTGACGGTCCTATGTACTCGATCACCATCATTCCCCTGGCGGTGATCGGCGTTGCTCCCGTTGTGGGGAGACTGCCTGCAGCCCAGACAGTTTCCCCATGGCGGATTAGGACCCCTGGGGCAATGTGATCGCTCAAAAGAGCAATCACATGGTCACAATAGGTGTCCATGTGTCTGCCTGGCAGTCTCCCTGCTAGTGGAAAATCATTAAAGAAATAAAAGTTAATGTTAATTAAAACATTTTTTTTAGATGTGTGTGTGTGTATATAAATATGATATGGTATGTCATTACAGCTAAACACAAACACCACAAAAGTGTCAAAACTGCTCTGGTCCTTAACTTACATCGCAAAAACAGGTTGCTCCTTAAAGGGGTTAAACAAATGGGTATAGTGATATTATTTTGTATTTAGCCTTTTGAAAATCTTGAAGTAAAATAGATTGGTAAATTCCCATATCCTTACAAACAAGGACATCAACATTTCCCTGAATATATGCATTACATTCTGAGAATAATCTTTTGGATGGAAATTATATTCAGGTTAATTAATATCTAATGTAATAATACATAAAATGTCTTTTTGTTTCTATATAGAGGAGTAAAGAAGGAGAAGGGCTTAATATGAACTCCATTAATTCCGTTCAAGTACACCAGTCGTGCTCATTGCAATAGAACAAAAATTTAGACAAAGGTGATGTTTTGTATGGGTTTTGTAGTTGCACTTCTTCTCTATGTTAATTGACGTTGATTTTTGTTCACTGTTCTTTGCAGCCAAACAGCTACCTTATTTTACATATGGCATATGTAATCTGAGAATCTCTTTTCATCCTCTTGGGACCAAGTTTAATTTTATTTGGTAAACTAGATGTATTGAAAATATTACCTTGACATTATCTCCATAATGGTCTTCCTGCATTAATTACCATATTTAGATTGCATCTACCTACAAGTGGCTTTGTTATCCTAGTCCAGCAATAATGTAGTGACAGTTTGTATATGATGTACCGTATATACTCGAGTATAAGTCGACCCGGATATAAGTCTAGGGTGGGAAATGCAGCAGCTACTGGTAAATGTGTGTATGAATGCAGTGTGTGTGTGTGTATGAGTGCAGTGTGTGTATGCGATGCAGAGCCTTGGTGGGGGGTGGGAATTTTTATTATTATTATTATTATTATATTAATTTTTTATTTTAATTTTTATTTATATTTTTCCTGTCAGCTCCCTTCTCTCTCCTCAGGTTCGGTCAGCTCCCCTGTCAGCCTTGCAGTGTGAGTGCCGCGCGGAGCGTTGCCACGGTAACCCGTGGCAACACTCTGACCCCGTGGCTCTCGCAAGACTTGCAGTGGAGCTGACCAGACTGGAGGAGAGAGAAGGGAGCTGACAGGAGCTTCAGGAAAGGTAAGTTACAGCTCTCTGCAAGCCCCCAACAGGACCGCCGGGCTTGTAATGAGCCCGGCGGTCCTTGTCTGTATTATGGCAATGTAAGTTGCCATAATACAGACAGTGACTCGAGTATAAGACGAGTGGCGGTTTTTCAGCACAAAAAATGTGCCAAAAACTCGAGTATATTTAGTAGTTCTTGCACTCAGGCTAAAACATTGCCTTTTTATATATATAATGCCGGGTGCCAGTCCTGGGGCTTCAGCATACAAAGTAATAAAACAGATGGTCTGTACTCACAGTCTTCCAGGAAAAGATTTCCTTTATTCCAACTTTTAGATCAACGTTTCAGTCCTCTCAGGGACCTTCATCAGGATAAAATCATACAATATTAATAAAACAGTGGCAGAAATGATTATAGCTATATATTTTGCCACTGTTTTATTAATATTGTATGATTTGATCCTGATGAAAGTCCCTGAGAGGACTGAAACTTCGATCTACAAGTTGGAATAAAGGAAATCTTTTTTCTATGGAAGACCGTGAGTGCAGACCATCTGTTTTATAAAAAAAAAAAAAAAGACTGTGTGTGTGTGTGTGTGTGTGTGTGTGTGTGTGTGTGTGTGTGTGTGTGTGTGTGTGTGTGTGTGTGTGTGTGTGTGTGTGTGTGTGTGTATGTATGTATGTGTGTGTGTGTGTATATATATGTGTATATATATATATATTTATTTATTTATTTATTTTATTAGTGACTCAGGCACTCACCATTGACGAAAAAACTTTGTAACAGCAACAACCCGCGTGCCTCCAGCGCACCTCAAAGGAGGGTTTCCCTTGCGAAATATCAGGCATTACTATGCATCTGCACAATTAACCCAAATCATAGTGGCATGCATCACTACCCAGGTTTAGATGGGCAGACATAGAAAATTACATCATGTGCCAGACACTATTCCCTACCATCTATGGCTTCCACACATAGATCTCCTATATAATCTTAAATAGGAAACATTTACTGTACAAACAAAAACCTTTATTCATATCGCTGGACTGTTTAAAACACCATTTAGATTAGTTGGCCCCTTAATGACCTAAAATTAGCCAATTTACCTGACATCCAGCAGAAAGAAGGCTTGCGTCTCCCCAGCTTTGCTTTACTGTGGGAGATCATCAGGAGTATTTTGGCTGAGGCAGTGGAGGCTAGGATCAGAACCCATCAGACACGATGTTCTAAAATGGTTTGACTATATACAATGAGGAGCCGGTTGTCAGGGCACGTCTGGGACCATAAACACTAAAGCTGACGTGCTTTGGAGTTCAGATAGTTCCTTTTGAGTTTGAGGGCTCTTTGCTTCTAAATTCTCACTGGCAACATCTATTTCTTCAATATTCCATTTATGACATAACTCTAATTTTCTTTCTGGTATTAATTATCTAGACTTCCAGACATTTAAAAAATTGGACCTGTTTTTTTCACAGTAAAATTCTTAAAGATCTTTTCTTCATATGGCATTGTTATAAAGCTGAACATAAAGACTTTTTTTTTATTTAAAGTCTTTACTTGAAAACACCTCTAGTGGCTGTCTGTCTGCTACTAGAATCACAAGGACTAACAAGTTGTAATATTGCTGTTTCTTACAAATGGAAATGCTTACATTTGTCAGAGTGCAGGAAAAGCGAGTCCACTACCTTAAACTGTAGTGTTTTTTGTGCTTAAAACTGCAGTCCTTTTTTTTTTTTTTGGTGTACTTAAATTCTCCCTTTTAACGCAACCCCATCTGGTCCCCATTACACCTGATTTCTTGATTAAATAGCAGGAAGATATTGGAGACGAGGATGAGTGTCAAGACATAAGTTGAATGTGAAGTTATCTGTGTAACACACAAGGAACAGGGTAGAGAACCGAGTGACAGGTAAGCCGGAGAACTCTTCTTCAGACATTACTGTTAAAATTTAAAAAGACAAGTAACATGATCACGTTTTAAAGCAGCACGACCACCCCCTTGCAAAATGAGTATTTTATAAAGATAAAATCTTTATGAAATACTCATATCATACTGACTGTTGAAATTTCACTGAAATTCCTACCCAGTCAAAAGATATACTGAGACAAAATAGGACTACTTTATCTCTGAATTTTTCCAAGGGTAATGCTTCTAGACACTTGGAGCTAGAAGTGTCAATCTCTCTGCCGTCATCAGTGACTGCTGCAAAGATATATACTGAATTGGAGCCTGGGATAGGAACAAGGATAAGGTGTCGGGTTGCGTACGAAGATTGGGGGGTAACCCCTAGAAATAGAACTAAATAAGAGAGAAAAGAAACAAAGACAGAGAAACCAGGAATAAAGAAGTATATATATCCTAAAGGTTCCCTGTGATTGTTAAGCAACCCAAAAGTAAATGATAAAATATAACTTTTATTAAATGCCTTCTAAAAGTCAATAACTAGTAAAGTGAGTAAATAGAGTAAGTAAAAAAGGCCTACTAAAGGGAGAGGAGAATAGAGTATCTGCAATAGCTCAGTAGTTCCAAAGAATGTAGAGAGAATAATGATCTAGTGGATGCTATAAAACATCCCATAAAGTCTAGAAAGTATTAAGCTATATAACCCTAATGTAGTAATTGCTGACTCCTAACTCCCATTAATCTAAGGCTGAAATCATCTGCCTAGTAAAGACAATCAACAAAAACCTCAAAGGAAGGTGCTAAGAGGTAGAAAATATTAAGTAATAAACTAGAGAGAGGGTGATAATGTCTAAAACATTATACTAATTCTGGCTGCAGCATCGTCCCCACAAAGTCTCTGCTGCAGCCAGAATTAGTATAATGTTTTAGACATTATCACCCTCTCTCTAGTTTATTACTTAATATTTTCTACCTCTTAGCACCTTCCTTTGAGGTTTTTGTTGATTGTCTTTACTAGGCAGATGATTTCAGCCTTAGATTAATGGGAGTTAGGAGTCAGCAATTACTACATTAGGGTTATATAGCTTAATACTTTCTAGACTTTATGGGATGTTTTATAGCATCCACTAGATCATTATTCTCTCTACATTCTTTGGAACTACTGAGCTATTGCAGATACTCTATTCTCCTCTCCCTTTAGTAGGCCTTTTTTACTTACTCTATTTACTCACTTTACTAGTTATTGACTTTTAGAAGGCATTTAATAAAAGTTATATTTTATCATTTACTTTTGGGTTGCTTAACAATCACAGGGAACCTTTAGGATATATATACTTCTTTATTCCTGGTTTCTCTGTCTTTGTTTCTTTTCTCTCTTATTTAGTAAAGATATATACTGTATTCATGGAGGATCATGCCATTTTATGGGATCCTCCATATACAGTACCTAAATACTGTACTCTTGCACATGCACGAGAGTACAGCAGTGACGTCGGCTCCTGGTGCTGGACCAACCAGAAGACAGTGGTGTCCACGATGGATAGGTTCAGGTAAGTAAATCTGGCTTTTACCGGCTGCAGGGCCACCAGCGCTCTTTGCAAATTATCTCCCCAGGTGGTGAATGTGTCACTCTATAATATTGATTGTGTCAGGTGGCGGTTTCATAGTACTCTAAAAGAAAATTGTGTCATTCTGTGCACATAGGTGATGGCATGTCCCCCACTATATCAAGTATCCATCTAGCATGCCCCCACTCCCTCTAGCATGTCAGCTCTTTTGAGCAAGTCTCTCAAGGCCCTCTGTTCCTGTGCGTCCAACTTGTCTGTTAGTCCACTCATTGTACAGTGCTGTGGAAAGTTTTGGAGCTGTAAAGCAATTTTCAAAAATTGCTTTAGTGTTAAGCCTACCACCATAGAGAGAGATATCAAAGCTGTTCCAACTGCTCTACCAGCCCATATGCTGTATAATTCTCCAGCGCTGGTAGGAGGCTCTAATATGCCTAAAACATATTATATAATTTTTATTTTTTACATTTTTTTTCAGTAGCAGATGCTCCGAAAAACATCTGTGTTGAAATAGGATATGCTGTTTGCCTAGATTGTGATGTATATGAACCTCTTCTTTTTTTGTGTTAACACAAGCCAGATGTCTATTTAGTCGTTACCTTGCTTAACATTATAAACCGTGTAACACTACCTTGGTGTCAAGAATATTTGACACCGTTAAAACTGAACCATAGAGGAGCGAAACACACATTTTGAGAAATCAAAATGTTAGTAAGCAAATGTAATAGCCAGCTGCAATAGCAAATGAAGAAAATGTTGGGTATAAAGCTTCTAGCAAAACCCTCCAATGTAGATTTATTCATAGTTTGCACTTGGGCATTTCTTCAGCAGTGCGCTGTGAACATTCAGTATATGCATGGCACACCATGTAACCTAAATGCAATTAAACTGAGACAACCTAAAGCTACATTGTTAGTTCTACAATTGTGCAAAATGCTCCCTAATGACAGTTCCTCTTATAATGACTGGAAATCTGCTAATGTGTGTAAAAAGGTGATGAGAAGGATTTATTGTATGTGAAAGAGAATTGTGTATGCAAGGAAGAAAAGCTATTTGTGCCTTTGATATGTTTCAATTTTCTAGCAACACACCTCCTCCTTGCCAACTCATATTATCTGTAGTATTCAATTTGCAAAATCACTGCAGCTGTAAGCCCACCCCCTTACTCAAATATGTCACTTGATTAAGCGTATGCTTCCTTTTATACCAACTAGTCCTTGCATGCTCGTGCACCGCATCAGCTGAATTTCTTCTTTCTTAATTTTAACTAATTAATAAAACTATGAAGGATTTAAGTTGTCCTAAAATGAAAGCTGTTAACATTCAGAACATCCATACTTCTGGAAATCACATTCCATCTAAGGTTAGGAAGTAAGCCATGAATCTAGAATACTTTGAGCAGTTTTTGACTGTAGTTAGTCTTTAAATTTAGACTTTTCTAACTGCTCTAGTTCTGGACAGGTTTCCCCTAGCGGGAAACATTGTTTGCGATCACTCTGTTTGTTGGAGGAAAAAATCTGTATGTCTTTCATGTGCGGCTTTCAACTATATATTACTGATCCCTTGGTTCCTTATTACTATTATTTATGGAACCCCCACACACCAATGGCCCTGTGCAATGGTTAAACAAAATATAATTAAATTACAAATGTAGGTAAACGGGAACAAGATGTGACATGGGCACTAATCAGATGACAAGCTTTATTTATGTCATTTTAGATTGTATGCAACCATTTTGAAACCCATTTAAAATTAATTTATAGATGGTACCTAACCCCTTCCAAACAGTTTAACATGCACCTTAGCAAAAATGATAAATGTTGGAGAGACTGCGGTCAAATTGGTACATTACTCCACGTCTTCTATTCATTTACCAAAATTAAAACTTATTGTCTGAAAATTCTCAAATTAATTAATCACATATTAGAATTCAATGTAATATTGTCCCTGTGTCTTTAAAAAAAAATTCTATCTAACTTGCCTAGATACAAATAATTATACTAGGCTCATATCAGCTAATTCCATCATCTCTCATCATTAGAAGTCACCCTCTGTACCAACTGTGGGTGAGGTCTTCTCTCTTGTTTTTGAAAATAAAAGGTGTGAATTCAGACTTTAACCATGTTCCCACTTGACAGAATACAAATTCTGCTTCCTGATTATTTTTTTTAGTACTATGTTATTAATTACTTGACACTTTATTTTATTTTCTGTACATAGTGTACTTATTTCATATACAAATATTTATATTTTATGTGTATTTTATTTGATTGCTTGTTTAGTTTTGACAATGGTTCATAAGTCATTATATATATATATATACCAATGTTGTATGATATTTTATTTTAAAACATTAATAAAAAATATTTGACGTAGATTGTAAGCTTTTGCAAACAAGTCTATCCACAATGCCACCTTATCGAATGTAACAAACTGTGTGATTTCACTTGAGTGTAGCACTGAGGACTCTATAAGTTAGTTTATATTGTTGGTGTATATAGCATGTATTATACTGGAGATGCAACTTTCACCTCTGAATTGGAAAGCATTACAAGGCAATATCTAAAATGCCATAAGTAATTTATTATGTGTATTACATAAATGAAGTGCAGCTGGATTACGGTAAGACACAATATGTGGGCTGGTGGCAGGATTAGAGTTGAACCATTTTCGATTTTGATGTTGCTGTTAATGGGCATTATGGCCATGTTATTTTAAATGTGTAATTCACCAAGCTAAGAAGCCTCTCATTAAACATGCCTAATTTGATTTAACGAACATGGTAGTAAGTGTACCAGACGATCATTATACTGAGATGCTAATGAGCCATAAGCTTGACATTTTTATTCACCCTCTATTACATAGTCTTTCAAGCTTAATAGGGTTCAACAAATGTTTCAGTTATAGTTGGTGTCCTCTGACTTCTCAGTTACTGGAGGACATTTCAGTGATAAAAATGAAAGTTGCTTTAAACTACAATCATTGCCCTTTTCCAGCTGGTTTTAAAAGTATTTCTATCTTTTAGTTAATCTAGGATAGCTTTGTGGTTTAGTTCAAAGACAACTCATCCTCATTGTCATTGAACACCTACCGAATAGGCTATCCATAAAAAAACACTACTTTGCCTTGTGATTCCTGTTGTCCTTTTTCTTACCTGGTCTGAGCAGTTTTTTCCATGTGTGTTCTATCCAAACTTCATTATGTACTTTAAAGTTGGACATGTGTGTTTACTTATTTTTTGCTCTATTTTGATGTGGAGATGTGATGTTTTCTCTTTCCCTTTTAAAAATGACCTCAACAATTAAAGGGATTCTATAGTGTAAGAAATACGTAGTTGTATGTCTTACACTATATAGCCATCTGGTCCCCTCCCCACACCCCTGCATCTCCTGCCACAGCTAACCGGTAAATACTCTTTTGTCACTTACCTCATCCAACGGAGGGCTAATTCACATGCACGGCATGCGCCTTGAGCTCATTAGGCCTTTCCCAAAGGAAAGCATTGACTCAGTACCTTTCTATAGGGATTTAACTGACATGGATGTCCGCGTGCAGGGAGTGAGGATGCCCAGTCGACCAAAAGTCGGTTAACCACCAGAAAGTGCCTTATGCAGTCTTAGTCCTTTCTTAAAAACTGCAGTGATTTACTTTGCAGCATCAAGTGGGCAGGGATGTTGTACCCATACCAGTTCAATGAAATTAAAAAGAGTAATAATAATAAATAAAAAAAAAGTTTGCAATAAAAACATTTTCTATAATATTTCCTTAGAATAATCTAGTTTAATATTCACCTGGACTTAATTTACAAAGTGTCAAAACATGTTACCAAAATATATGTAGTGTGCACCATCATGAAACATTGTGTTTTCTAAAGACAGTAGAGCTACGCCTCTCTTCAATCTTACAGGGTGACAAAGCATCATCAAAATTGTAGTGCTACGTCAGCTGGAGATATCAATTTGTCATCTCTGTGTTACAGGGACTGGGGTTAACTGTATGCATCTGCAGGCGTATTTTATAAAAGTGCTGATTTCAGGAAATTACCTAGGTGCAAAACTACCCTGGTATGCCTCTGGAAAGTACAGCAGTTTTAACAACTTTTTAGGTATTTTTATTTTTCTTTATTTTATTATCTTTTGCATATTTTGTAATGCTTTAAATATTAGTGCCTTGCAAAAGTATTCACCCCCATTGGCATGGTTCGTGTTTTGTTGCCTCACAACCTGGAATTAACATGGATTGTTTCAGGATTTGCATCATTTAATTTACAGAACATGCCCACAACTTTGAAGGTGTATTTTTTTTTTGAATTTTTTTATTATTGTGAAGCAAACAACAAATAGGACAAAATAACAGAAAAAGTCAATGTGCATAACTAGTCACCCCCCTAAAGTCTATACTTTGTAGAGCCACCTTTTGCGGCAATCACAGCTCCAAGTCGCTTTGGATAAGTCTCTATGAGCTTGCAACATCTTACCACTGGGATTTTTGCCCATTCCTCCTTGCAAAACTGCTCCAGCTCCTTCAAGTTGGATGGTTTGTGCTTATGAACAGCAATCTTTAAGTCTGACCACAGATTTTCTATTGGATTGAGGTCTGGGCTTTGACTAGGCCATTCCAACACATTTACATTTAAACCACTCAAGTGTTGCTTTAGCAGTGTGTTTGGGGTTATTGTCCTGATGGAAGGTGAACCTCCATCCTAGCCTTAAATCAGGCACAGAGTGGTACAGGTTTTGCTCAAGAATATCCCTGTATTTAGCACCATCCATCTTTCCCTCAACTCTGACCAGTTTCCCAGTCCCGGCTGCTGAAAAACATCCCCACAGCATGATGCTGCCAACACCATGTTTCACCGAGGGGATGGTGTTCTTTGGGTAATGTGATGTGTTGGGTTTGCGCCAGACATAGCGTTTTCTTTAATGGCCGAAAAGTTCAATTTTAGTCTCATCAGACCAGAGCACCTTCCTCCATACATTTTGGGAGTCTCCCACATGCCATTTCGCAAACTCAAACGTGCCATTTTGTTTTTTGCTGAAAGTAATGGCTTTTTCTGGACACTCTGCCATAAAGCCCAACTCTATGGATTGTACGGCTTATTGTCGTCCTATGTACAGATACTCCAGTCTCTACTGTGGAATTCTGCAGCTCCTCTAGGGTTACCTTAGGTCTCTGTGGTGCCTCTCTGATTAATGCCTAACTTGCCCGGTCCGTTGGTTTTGGTGGGCGGCCATCTCTTGGCATGTTTGCTGTTGTACCATGTTCTTTCCATTTGGTTATGATAGATTTGATGGTGCTCCTGGGGATCATCAAAGATTTGGATATTTTTTTATAGCCTAACCCTGACTTGTACTTCTCAACAACATTGTCCCTAACGTGTTTGGAGAGTTCCTTGGTCTTCATGGCAGTGTTTGGTTAGTAGTGTCTCTTGCTTAGGTGTTGCAGCCTCTGGGGCCTTTCAAAAAAGGTGTGTATTTGCAATGACAGATCATGTGACACTTAGATTGCACACAGGTGAACATCATTTTACTAATTGTGACTTCTGAAGGTAATTGGTTGCACCAGAGCTTTATATGCACATGCCAATTTTCTATTTCTGAAAAATAGTTTTATGTATATATTTTTCTCATTTCACTTCACCAACCTAGACTATTGTGTTCTGATCCATCACATAAAATTCAGATTAGTAAAACATTGAACTTAAGGCTGTAATGTAGCAAAATAGGTAAAAATTCAAGGGGGGTGAATACTTTTGCAAGGCACTGTATATAATGTGCTAAAAAAAAAATGGGCCACTTCCAGATTTTTTTAACGTAACTGATCTGAGAGTAAATGCATATTGCAAAAACATTTTTTTCCTCTGCAGTTTCATGAAAGACTGAAACGTTTCATGTATTTGAATATTCTGGTGTCCTTTTCCTTAGTGCTAAGGAAATTTTGCAGTAGAGCCAAATACTTTGATTTGTAGATTGGAAATATAGATTACTCCGTTTTAACCTAATGATATCTGTTTACTTCACTGTACATTCACTTCCCTGCCAGTCGATCACTGCCTACAGTGATCAAAATACAGATCACAGTATTATACTGTGATCTAATTTTTTTTAACCCTGAGGATTAACTTTTATTTATTTTTTAACCCCCAGGGGTTCAATTTATTTAATTAATTTAAATATTTTATAATTATATATTTTGCTAGCTGGGGTGGGTGGGAGTTATGGGAAAATTGGGAATTTACTGTTAGTGCTGCTTGCTGCTAGTTAGGGGTTAACAGTAAATCAAAAAAGCTTAGAAAAATGTTAAATCTGTAAAAAAAAGTTTTAATAATGTTTAGGAAAGTTTAAAAAAAACTAAGCAAAACAAAAGTTTAAAAACTAGTTTTTAAAAGTAAAAAAAAAGTTTAAAAAGTAAAAAAATACATTTAAAAATGCTCATTACCACTACACTTGGTACAAGCTAGTGGAAAAATGATCCCACGCTAAGGTTCAAAATATACCTTTTGAAATACCCTGCGGTGTCTACTTTAAGAAATGGTAGGCCTTTGTGGGGTAGTTTGAATTTAAACCCTGCTAAGATGCTTGGAAATTGCTCGTAGGCACAGCGTCAAAGTTCGTTAAAAACTGATATGGCTTGGTCTCCTATATGGCACTGTAGCTTCACGAAATAGTGCCAAAGACATTCATTGGGGGTGTCTTTTTACTCAGAAGACTTAGCTAAGCATAATTTGGGGGGTTTGAACTTAGTGGCACATGTGAAATATACAAAATGCCCAGCAAAAATGCAATCCATATGTAAAAAACGCACAAAATTATTTTTTACCTCATACTTTGGCATATATTGGTGAAAAAATGGAGGCATGTTAAGGCACAATATGCACCTTATGAGATACCCTGGAGTGTCTACTTTTACAAATGGTAGGCCTTTGTGGGCTTTTTTGAACAGTCAAACTGTTATACTACCCCAAATGGAAGCATAGGCGCATTAAATCCGTCTCTCAAAATTCTACTGTGAATACTGAAAAGGACAGGTCTCCTATATGGCACTGTAACTTCACAAAATCGTGCCAAAGACATACAATGGGGGTGTCATTTTACTCAGCAGATCTAACTGAACACAAAATAAAACTTTGTACAGGAATAGCACACACCAACTTTACAAAATACACATGAGAATTTCTCTGTTATAAGTTTGTGTGCCAAAAACAAAAAAAAAACAACACAATTTTACTCCAATATTTAGCAGAGGTTGGCGGTGAAATGGCTACGTAGAAAGTGTCAAAACAACCTTAGGTAAATAGCCTGTGATGTCTACTTTATATAAATATATACGTTTGTGTGACAATTTTGTTTTCTTTTATGGCTATTAAGCTTACAAGACAAACATACCAAATTCTTAAATCGCTCCACATTAAAAGTTTATTTTACTCCTTGTGCTTTGTGACCTGTAACTACCAAAAAAAACTTAAAATCCCAGACACATTATATATTCTGTAAATCAGAACTAAATGAATTTATTTTTAATTACTTTCCTTAACCTGCACTAATTATGCACACATTATTATTGCAAAAACTGTAAAAAAACAAAAACAAACTACTTTTCTGTATTTTTTTTATAATAAATAAGCATTTATATTTATATATATATATATATATGTGTGTTACATCAAATTAAAGCCCTTTCTGTCCTTTAAAAAACGGTATATAATATGTGTCGGTGCAATAAATTAGTAAAATGCAAATTGCAGTTGAACGCAAACAGCAAAAAATGCTTTTGTCACTAAGTGAAAGACAAGCTTTTAAAGCTCTGTCCTTAAGGGGTTAATAAGCTGGCTCTAAACGCCGGTGGGCATAATAGTACGCCCTCGCTATGATGGCCGCCCACGTGGCAACCCCTCTGTGGCCGGTGCCCGCGATCTGCAGTCTCTGATCGCAGTGACAGGCTGGTACTGCGATCAGTATTTACAGTGTGTCAGCCGATTTCAAATTGGCTGACACACGTGGCCGGCGGCTTTCCCCTATACAGATCGCGGTCGGGGGACATACCTGGGGTCAGTGATCGCGATCTGCACTGTCTGATCGCAGTGACAGGCTGTCACTGCGATCTCAGAGTACTCTGATCGCAGTGACAGCGTGTCACTTCGATCAGTGTTACATGTGTCAGCCTAATGGTTGAAACATGTAACAGGCGCAATCATCCCCCTGCAGATTGGTAGGGGGAGTACTTGTACCACCCAGGCACTCCCCCCTGTGGTCAATTACCCAATATGCAGGAGGTGATCACAGTGACAGGCAGTCACTATGATCACGGATCCTGTGTGTCAGCCAGTGATGTGAAATCACTGGCTGACACTGTCTCTGCCCCCTCTCCTGTAATAAAAATAAAATATTAGTTAAAAAAATAAATAAATTATAGTTACAAATAAAATATACTTAGATCATATATATGATTATATATATTTACACATACACCAAGTGTATTTTAATATTAATATATATAATTATATGTATATTAATATCAAAATACACGTAGAAGGATATTGATTAAATATATATATATATATATATGGATTTATATATAATAAAAAAATATGTAAATACGTTAAAAAAATAAAATATATGTGTAATTTTGTTCTAACTGTATTTTGATTCTATATTGATATCAAAATACACGTAGAACGAAATATATAATAATTTTACATATATTTATATAATAATTTAACATAATTAGGTCATTTTTATTAATTACAATTTGTGGGACCTGCCTGACAACCCAGGCCGAAACTATAGGGAATTTAATTTTCTAGCACTATATTTAACCCTATAACTTTCCATGACACCATAAAACCTGTACATGGAGGGTACTCTTTTACTTGGGAGACATCGCTGAACACAAATATTTGTGATCCCAAACCGTAAAATGTATTACAACTATGATATTGTCAGTAAAAGTGACGTTTTTTGCATTTTTTACACATAAACGGACACTAATATTATTGCTGTAATACTTTTTACTGTTTTGAAACACAAATATTTGTGTTCAGCAAAGTCTCCTGAGTATAGCATTACCCCTCATGTACAGGTTTTATGGTATTTTCAAAAGTTACAGAGTCAAATATAAGGCTTGCGTTTTATTTTTTTCACATTGAAATTCGCCAGATTGGTTATGTTGCCTTTGAGACCGTATGGTAGCCCAGGAATAAGAATTACCTCCATGATGGCATACCATTTGCAAAAGTAGACAACCCAAGGTATTGCAAATGGGGTATGTTGAATCTTTTTTAGTAGCCACTTAGTCACAAACACTGGCCAAAATTGGCGTTCAAATTTAGTTTTTTGCATTTTTCACACACAAACAAATATTAACGTTAACTTTGGCTAGTGTTTTGTGACCAAGTGGCTACTAAAAAAGACTGGACATACCCCATTTGCAATACCTTGGGTTGTTTACTATTGCAAATGGTATGCCATCATGGGGGTAATACTCATTCCTGGGCTTACCATACTGTCTCAAAGGCAACGTAACCAATCTGGCGAATTTCAATGTGAAGGTGTAACATGCTATATTTGACCCTGTAACTTTCCAAAACACCATAAAACTTATACATAGGGGGTACTGTTTTACACGTGAGACATCGCTGAATACAAATATGTGTATTTTATTGCAGTATAAGCAAACAGTATTATGACAGTCACAGTTAGAATGTCACGTAGAACTAAACATTTTTTAAAAATTCTTATTTTCTCCCATTTTCCAATATTTTATTCATATTCAAATATTTAGGTATAAAACATAATTTATGTTAAATGAAAGCCCTGTTTCCCCTGAATAAAATGATATATAATAAGTGTGGGTGCACATAATATGTAAGAGGCGAATTACGCCTGCAAAGACATATAGCGCAAATTCAAGTTTTTGTTTTGATCACAACGCGTACATTTGGCTCAGTACTTAAGGGGTTAAATTATATAGAATTACAGCGTGCATGTTTGCTTTTTTTTTGTATTTTTAGTGATGAACATGTGTTTCTCTGTGAATCTTGTTTCTTGGCTGCCTGTGGATTGTATAACTTGAATATACCCTGTAGTTTTCCTTTGTTTCAGTAGATGTCTCTTTTGTGTTTGTTTAATTGGCAATGATCAACATGAGAAGGAAGGGAAAAAAAATCACAGGGACAGTTGCATAAATTACAGCATTTTTCCTTTTTTAGACCATGACTAAGCAGAAGTTTTTTTTTTTTTTTTGTTATGAATTTATATCATAATTTATTTTAAAAATATAATTCATGAGGCATAGTGCTTATTATGGTAAATTTTAGTTTCTATAATAAGAAGTAGCACTATAAACAGTAGGCACAAAATATACCTTTATGTTCCAATAGTCCTTGTTTTTACCCATATACTTCAGCTTTTAGACCACCTACTGTACTTTTCCTAGCTTGATTGCAGCCTTTTGCTTAAAGGAACGCTAGCAATACAAATAAAAATGTATATTCCTAATGATATATATTGTGTCTCTGTCCCTATTTGTATTAAGTCCCCCCTCTTTTCCAATAAAAATAAATAAAATCAACACCTACCCTAGACATACACATATTGTCCGTTGCATTTTGTGATATTTGTAGATACCATTATATAAATAACTGTTAGAGGCAAAACAATTTCCAAGTTTAACACAAGTCAACCTACAATGAGCTATGTATGCCTTCATATTGACTACAAAATCAGAAACTGTCAGAGGAAAGTCAGTGAAGATGCTGTACATTTTTAATAAATGCCATTACTGATTAATAACATACAGTTTGTATGAACTCTTAATGTACTAGTGCTAGTATAGAGAAAATTATCTCTTATCTTAAAGGACCACTATAGTGTCAGGAAAACAAACTAGTTTTCCTGGCACTATATAATCCTTAGGTCTCCCCCATCCTCAGGGCCCACCTCCCGCTGTGCTGAAGGGGTTAAAACCCCTTCAGGCGCTTACCTTTATCCAGCTCCGGGCTCCCTCGGCGCTGGTGATATCTCCTCCAACTCTGGCATCCGCTCCCGAGTGGAGCCGAATGCGCATGTGCGGCCAGAGCCGCGCACGCATTAAAAACACCCATAGAAAAGTATTTCTCAATGCTTTCCTATGAACGTTCTGCGTGCTCAATGCGATATTCGCATTGATCGTAGGGGAAGTGCCTCTAGCGGATGTCAGGAAGACAGCAACTAGAGGCTGGAATAACCCTTCAATGTAAACATGCAGGGTTAAAACATGGGGGACCTGGCACCCAGACCACTTCATTGAGCTGAAGTGGTCTGGATGACTATAGTGGTCCTTTTACTTTTGAGGCTGGATTTTAAAATGAAACCTCTCTAAATTGATCATGTTGTAAGCATAGAATGCAGATATTTGACAAGTCGTATCATTCAGTAGAATGATCATTTAGTTGACTAAAATTTTTGAGATTTAGTCAACTAAAATACGACTAAAACTAAAATGTCTTTTTAGTCAAAAACTATGTCTAAAACTAAATTGAATTTTGCTACCAAAATTAACACTGACTCTTAGCCTATAATTATCACCCACATTGGGATGACTAATCCACTTCTGTATTTGCATAGTGACAGCGGAATGGTTAAAGGGACACTAGTCACAAAGCAGCTTCAGCTTAATGAAGCAGGTTTGGTGTATAGGTCATACCCCTGCAGTCTCACTGTTCAATGCTCTGCCAATTTAAGAGTAAAATCACTTTGTTTACTTGCACAGTCTTCCTAAAGACTTCCTGTAAAGAGTCATCTCATGTTTGCACTTACTTTATTGCTCTTCTGTTTAATTTAGAATGTCTTAACTCCTGCTCTGTTAATAGCTTGTTAGACCCTGCAGGAGCCTCCTGTATGCAATTAAAGTTCAATTTACAGAGCAGGATATGAAAACATTTAAAGTATATTACATATGATTGTAAATTAAACTATTTTGTTTTGATGCAGGCTGTGCCAGTCACAGCCAGAAGATATGTGGCTAGGGTTGCATGAACCGAAACAAAAGTGATTTAACACCTAAATGGCAGTGTATTGAGCAGTGAAACCTCAGAGGCATGATCTATACACACAAACTGCTTCATTAACCTAAAGTTGTTTTGGTTACTGTAGTGTCACTTTAACCTCTTAAGCAGTGGTGTATCTTGGTTTTGTGCTGCCCTAGGCAGGACAAAACTCAGGCGCACCCCCTCCCCCCGCGCCACCCCCACCCAACCCTTCCCCCCGCCCCACCTTCTAAATACACACACACACACACACACACACAGTCAGACACACACACATACACAGTCAGAGACACACACACACTCACAAACACAGTCAGACACACACACACACACAGTCAGACACAAACACACACACAGTCAGACACAAACACACACACAGTCAGACACACACGCACTCACAAACACACAAACACAGTCAGACACACACAAACACATCAGACACACTGAAACGCAGTCAGACACACACAAACACAGTCAGACACACACACACACAGTCAAACACAAAACACAGTCAGACTCAAACAGTCAGACTCAGAACACACAAACACAGTCAGACACAAACACAAACACAGACACAAACACACACAGTCAGACACAAACACACACACAGTCAGACACAAACACACACACAGTCAGACACAAACACACTCACAAACACACAAACACAGTCAGACACACACAAACACAGTCAGACACACACACACACAGTCAGACACACACACACACAGTCAGACACACACAGTCAGACACACATACACACACACAGTCAGACACACATACAGACACACACACACACACACACACACACACACACACACACACACACACACACACACACACACAGTCACACACACACACACACACACACACACACACACACACAGTCACACACACACATTAACTTTTTTTTAAATTTAAATCCCCCCCCAACCTCCTTACCTTTGGGAGTGCTGGGGGGGGTCTCTCTCCCTGGTGGTCCGGTGGTCCAGTGGCTGCAGGGCGGGCGGCGCTGGCGAGGGAGCACTTCCTATGAGCTGACTGCTCAGCTCCCTCGCGCGCCGGCTGCAGAGTGAGGCTGGGAACCGGAATATGACGTCATCTTCCGGCTCCCAGCTTCACTCTGCGGCGCGCGAGGGAGCTGAGCAGACAGCTCATAGGAAGTGCTCCCTCGCCAGCGCCGCCCGCCCGCCCGCCCGCTCGCGATGTCAGTTAGCCGCAAGGCTAACTAGGCATTTGCCCTGGGCATTTGGGGGGCGGCGTTTTTTGCCGCCCCCTGAAAAATGCCGCCCAAGGCAAATGCCTTGTTTGCCTCGCGGCTAATTACGCCCCTCCTCTTAAGGGCACATGACATGTGTGACATGTCATGATTCCCTTTTATTCCAGAAGTTTGGTCCTTAAGGGGTTAAGCTGTAGCTACAGGAGAACATGCCAAAGGAGTTGGCCTGGACTCCCAAATATATTTACACCTTTTGCTGTGCACTGGTGCCTCAATCCAGGGCCCTGTTAGCCTTGCATGGTAAAGAGCCACAGGATGAAGAATTTAATATATATTTAAAGGGACACTGTAGGCACCAAGATCACTTCAGCTCATTAAAGTGGTCTGGATACCAACTCCCACCACCCTTAACCCTGGGCATGTAAGTATTGCAGTTTTTATAAACTGCAATAATTACCTTGTAGAGTTAAGTCCTCCACCTTCTTAGACGGCTTTTGGTGACTTCCAGTGTCGGCGGAATCCCCACAGGAATGCTTTCATATGGGGAGGTCTAATGCGCACGTGGCCATTGTTGCGCATGTGCATTAGGTCTGTCGGTGGGGAAGGAGCATGGGCGAAGCCTGACTCATCGGTGCTGGATTCAGATAAGCGTCTGATGGGGTTTTAACCTCTTCAGCGATGGTGGGCCAGAGGGAGGGGTCACTTCAGGATTCTATAGTGCCAGGAAAACAGGTTTGTTTTCTGGCACTAGAGAATCCCTTTATTTACTTAACCCTCTATTTACTTAACCTCATGTCACTAATAGTCCACAGGTTATGTCACAGGTCTTGTATCGTTCTGGACACAGACCGGAGCAGTCGCATGCTCCCTTCCTGCCTCCACTACAGGATCTTTAGATCATGCTCAGGGGGCTCACTTAGCCTTTAGAAGTTACCCACTGCCCATGGTTTTGGCGGGTGGGGAGCCTGGGTCTTCCAAGGCCCAACAGCGGACTACCCCCCAACCGGCCCTTACGGACTACCCCCAAACCGGCCCTTACGGACTACAGCTCGCACAGTTAATGACCGACGCGGCCCCTGTTTGTTTGCAAATAAAGGTGGTGTAACGGCACCCAGGGCTTAAAAGGGGTTAAACGCCGTTTAGAGGATATTTCCCTTCCATATACACAGGCAGCTACCAAAGACACCAATCTGCCGAAACAGGAAACCATATGAATGCCGTAAACAGCCGAACCGGAACCATATAAATTCTGTAAACAGACGAAAAGGGAAAAACCATACGAATAGGTTTACACTCCTAGCAGTCAAACTGGAACAGCATACAATAAATCCCCCCAAGAACGAGACAAAGCTCAGTTTTGAGGGTCAAGCAGGAACAGACAGAGCTGTGGGTTTATTGTTCTTATATACACATTCTTACACATTAGTACCACCCACAAGCTTTTGTAAAACAACCAATAAACATGTACAATACACTCAGACACTCCCACACAAAATCCTCCCCTCTGCTTGTGATACAATTACCTTACACAATGGGTTAATGTAATTATCACAGGCAGAGAAATACAGTTTTTCCACATTATTCATAACTTTAAAAATATACATCACATTCACTTAGATTTTCAGAATCTGCATACTCCAAATACAAACATATATCAAAATCATCCAAATTGGTCCAGTGGTTCAAAAGATAGATCGAAGTCCTTTGTGACCAAATGAAGCATGGCTTTTCTGCCCAAAACCAGTTCCACAGAGACTTCTATCTTGGAGATAATTGGGAAGTAATCCAATAATCTCCAAGGACAGAGGCAAAACTCCGTTGAACACATGGTAGCAAAAGACAATAAAATACATAAAAATATATAACTGTGCAGCTATTGCATAAAACAGGTACATTCAACATATCCCCAGATAGCTTAGATCTGAGCGCACATTATTACTGAATGGCGCTCAGATCACATACATACAGTTCAATTGCCATGGAGCCAAAGTCTTTCACATAGTCTTTTGTTATACGAATGGGCTCCATGTCATAGCTATCTGTGGTATCACTTTTTTAAATAGGGCAAGTACCGAATGACCCGGTTTTCATGTCTTTGCAGGGGAAAATCAAGCTTTTCAACATGGGGCCATAGTCTAAAGGCAGCAGGCGGGCAACCAGGCTCCTCCAATCCACAGTGGCGAGATTGGTCTTGTCACAGGTGGATTCTTAAATAAGTGTCCCATGTGTTTGTCTGTTTTCAGTATGTACTAGTTATTATTTATGACCTTCTGTATTTGTGGTGTAAGTGGTATGTAGGTACTTACAAAAGGTATTGTCTTGTTTGGTTTTGTGTGTCGTAGAGAGTAATCCTTCCAGATTCAAATTTGAGTTCCACCTTTATTTGCAAACAAACTGGGACGATCCATTAGAGACATGGTGGTCAGGGCTGATAGTCAGACCAACAAACCAATCAGAAACAAACATTCCTCTCAAAACCTGTACATGGGACCTACCCCTGCCTGAGTTGCAATCACTGTAGTGTGATTATTAAGGGGGAATTCTGTACCCATCCCAGGACTGGCCAACAAATTAGGTTAAAGGGATTCTTTACGTGCCAAACTGATTATGTGGTGAACCTTTTGAAGTGTCCGTGCAGCCTTGGTTATGTAGGAAAAACTATACATGCCCTGAAAGACAGTGTCCCAACATAAAACAACGATCAGAAGCACTAACTCAGAGGTACCAGTCATACGGCACTTCAAAGAACAAAGACATAATGCTTCCCAATTACGATACAAAATACTAGAAAGGGTACCACTTCTAACTAGACGAGGTAACAGGGAAAAAAATATTTCTACAGAAGGAAGCCCGCTGGAGGCACCGATTGGACACAGTGTCCCCTCATGGTCTCAATGAGAAGCTTGAGTGGCACTGGTTCCTTTAGGTGCTCCATCGAGTACCCGCCATGCAATCTGTCCTGGAGCTGGGTATGTATTATTACTATTTGCAATTACATTTTCTAGCCAAAGAGTCACTCTCTATATGTATATCACTTTATATGTATATTTGTTGATATATAGATATATTATTCCATGTTTATAGGCATGCTGCAAACCCTCTGTTTAGATGAGGGTGTCATTTTTCCATTTACGTTTTGTTTATTTGTGAATATCACTGAGTATATATAGGTGTTGGTATTTGTTTTATATATTGGCATCAGCTGTAGTAGGTTTATACCATCTAATTGCTGAATCGTCTCTCTCCCTTTAAGTGGTAATAGACACACTATGGATAAAGCATAGAATCTACTAGTTATTTGACTGTTATTTGCTAATATACCACTTCTATTGGAACTGTTTATGTTGCCAGGTTGCCTGAAAACAAATGTTTGTTTACATGTTGCTTAGCAACAGTGCGTGATGACGTCACACACAACAGACGTGACGTCTGACGTCACCACTCCCACGAACCAGGAAGTCCGTGGAGACTCAGGGATGCCGACCAGACGCAGGAAGACGCTGCACAGCTTATATCAATTTACTTATTATTATGGGGGCGGCACAGATATGATTGTAAGCACTGTAACTTGTATATACGTTGGTATGTGCCTTATTCTCACTTTAGGACATTAGCATTGATAAAGAGCTATTGCCTGAAACATTTGTTTTACTTTGTCCTTCTGAAATTAAAGGTGTAACACCAGGGAGTGCACTTCAAATTCAAGTTGAGCAAGTCTCCTATCCTTTTTTTTGTTTTGTACATAGTTATAGGAGCACGTGGGGAGTTGACACAACACGAAACACTGCTCATGGGAGCGAAGCTCAAATCACACATTTGTAGGATAGGTCTGTATAACATTTGTGAGCCTTCTCGGGTGAGAGGCCAAATTAGCTTCTTCTCATAAGCCATATCCTGGAAGGCAAGACCCTACTAATTACCTAATTTTCATGAGTACGTACCAGAAGAATGGTATAAAGTAAACAAATTAGGCAAAAGAGTCTAGTGTGTTGTATATAGGTTTTACAGCAGTGTACACTTCGTTGCATGTGTTACTCGCGATAAGGAGGGCTTAGGTCCTCAAGGAAGCGATTGAAGGATGTGTAACCCCCATTGCCTTTCTTTATCCCCTATTCCTTCCTGTACCCCACACAAAAATGCAATAAAAATTGTCAAGTTGAAAAAAAAATTATAATTTGAAGCAGTCAACAGAGTTTTGCTTTTCATATTGGTCTGTTTGCCCTGAACAAACTCACTACAATTTGCCACCTGCAAAGTAGTCCACCTTGTATTTTGGATAATGTTTATATATACGTTAATTTTTTTTTTAACAAAGCATTAACTAAAATTCATGCTAATATGATATACAAGTTTATTTTTAAAGAGAAATGTTTATCTTAATCTGACTTAAATCTTCTTATTGCATTGCACCACGTGCATTAACATCTAATGTACCCACTCTAGTGGGAAAAATCTGATCTGCTTGGATAAACAAACATGCTGGTATTTTTTAAACTTATAATAAGTCCCGGTGGTACAGCTGCTGAAAAGCTTCAAAATGAATGTTCCACTACTCTCCTAAAGTTGTTGCAGGTCATTGCCAGATAGACTAATTATAAATCTAATATTACTTCACAGATATGAATATAATCTTTCTTCTAAATTAATGGTTTTCTTACTTTATTTTTTATAGGTGATGGTTGTAGAAGCTAAATGACGCCATATACACAGAGAAATGGAGGTGTGATTAATGGCAGCGTGCTAGGACTAATCCAGCAGAAGAGTCCAAAACAAACAGGGTTCGATTATTTGCCATAATGAAGAAAATAAGTCTAAAGACTTTTCGCAAGTCTTTTAACTTGAATAAAAGCAAAGAAGAAAATGACTTTGTAATGGTACCACAGCCATCAATGACAAATAATTTTGTGAAAGATGACTCCTTGTTTGGCAGCTGCTATGGCAAAGAGTTGACAGGATGTGAAATAAACAATGAGGATGAAAAAGGGGGCAAAAATAGACCGAAAAGTGAAAGCTTAATGGGCACTTTAAAAAGACGCCTATCTGCTAAGCAAAAACAAAAAGGAAAGGGCGGTACATCCATTAATTCTGCTGAAGATGATACTTTTTCTTCTTCTTCTGCACCTATAACACTTAAAGATGTAAGAGCTCAAAGGCCTTTAAGATCAACATCCCTCCGTACCCACCACTACAGTCCAACTCCATGGCCCCTGCGACCAACCAATTCTGAAGATACTTGCATAAAAATGGAAGTCAAAGTGAAAGCATTGGTACACTCCTCCAGTCCAAGCCCAGCACTGAATGGAGTTAGAAAGGACTTTCATGAGCTGCAATCTGACAATGTATTTCAGGAACAAAGCAATGCATTGAAAAGTACAGAATCTCAAAATGGAGATTTACATCTACATATTAATGAACATGTGCCTGTAGTTATAGGACTTATGCCTCAGGACTATATTCAGTATACTGTGCCTTTAGATGAGGGAATGTATCCTTTGGAAGGATCTCGTACTTTCTGTTTGGACAGCTCTTCCCCAATGGAAGTTTCTGCTACATCTTCTCAAATTGGAAGTAATAGTTTTCTTGAAGAAGAAAATCAGGTGGCCCAGGATGTAGTAGTGGCACCGGACATCTTTGTGGACCAAGGTGTTAATGGTCTGTCACGTAGCACCAGTGGAGTTCTGTTTCAGAACTCTATGGTTAATCACAATGAAGTCCCTCCACTTTCACCATTACTACCTCCAGCCCAGAATAATCAAATCCAAAGGACCTTTGCAGGACTTAATAGCACAGATGTACACATGGCTGAAAACATGCGTTGCCATTTGAATTTTGATCCCAGTACCGCTCCTGGTGTAAGCAGAGTTTATGATTCAGTGCAAAGCAGTGGACCCATGGTAGTCACAAGCCTCACAGAAGAACTTAAAAAACTTGCCAAACAAGGCTGGTACTGGGGACCCATAACACGCTGGGAGGCAGAAGAAAAACTGGCTAATGTGCCAGATGGCTCTTTTCTTGTTCGAGACAGTTCTGATGACCGTTATCTGTTGAGCCTAAGTTTCCGCTCTCACAGCAAAACTCTTCACACTAGAATAGAACACTCTAATGGTAGGTTTAGCTTTTATGAACAGCCGGATGTAGAAGGGCATACCTCTATAGTGGACTTAATTGAACATTCCATAAGAGACTCTGAAAATGGAGCATTTTGCTATTCTAGATCCCGGGTTCCAGGATCTGCAACATACCCTGTTAGACTGACAAATCCGGTGTCAAGGTTTATGCAAGTGAGATCCTTGCAGTACTTGTGCCGTTTTGTAATCCGTCAGTACACAAGAATAGACCTGATTCAGAAACTGCCTTTGCCAAACAAAATGAAGGATTATTTACAGGAAAAGCACTACTGAACTTGAGGAAATTTTGCAACTTGCACTTTTGGGAACTAGAAAAAATAAATTGAAATACCGTTTACAAACTTTTCATCACTCTCAGAATATTTTGCTGCCATACCAATATATTTTGTTTAGATAAATGAGTGCAATGCATTATTCTTTTCATTTTTGTTTTAAAAGTAAACTGTCCATTTTTTTTTTTTTGATGTGTGAAATCACCATCTTTTTTACAGCATTGAAAAAATAATAATAATCACAATGTGAAATATTAGATTTTCCTATTTTTTCATGTTCTTAGCTGCTATCCACTGTGACTATTATGCATTTAAAAGCACATATTTCATGTGTTCTTAACCACCGCTGACATTAAATTAAACCTATAGATTGGATCTTTTACCTGTTCTCTTATGTTTTGTTTTTACAATACAATATTAGACTTCTATTTTTATACAAAGTTTAGATATAACATGTTTTATGGTTTAGCATATCGATTTGAAAAGCTAATCCATGCTCCTTGTAAATTCTATTAAGAAAGGAGGGCAAACTATTAAAGGAATCTCTTTATTAAGGCAGATGTGTTTGAAATGAAGTGGTTGATTGCCAAGAATAATCCAGACCCCATATAATATTCATATTATATGTGGTTTATTGTAAGCACATCTCACAGCACGTGTGCGTATAAATTGTATTGAAAAATACATGACTATTCCGAGGAGCACTATTACAGCTGAATACTAACCGGATCCTAGGTTGTAATTGTAATAAAACTAGAAAGAAGGCGGGAAGGAAAGCAACAAATAATTGTTACGCTCAAGTTAATGTTTTTTTTTTGTACAAGAAAACAAAAATGTAATTATGAGATTAAAATCTGTCTTTGTATTTTTTTTGCCAGAAAACTGAATGACATTCTTTTCCTAAATATTTCATTTTGTTTTTATTTATGTCTTTGAAAAAGAAAAATATGTATGGCTTATTTTGAAGGAATGAAACATGTTTTCATTAGTTAAATTTCACAGTTTGTAGAAAAATAGTGTTATAAAGTTGCTTGTTTTAAGAAGATGATCTATCCTATATTGATACTGAGCTTGCACATCAAGGTTGCCATGGTGAAACAAAAATTAGATTAATTTTTTTTGATCTGAACACTTGTATAATTATTCCCCATCCCCTTGCTGCTCGCCACTGTCTGTAAGAAAGGAGATGAGTTGGATTTCTGAAGTATCATTTGTAATGCTATAAGAAGAACAGACTGTCTCTGCATGATGCAATAGCAGAGAAAGCTTTCCTCGCTCCCTAGCACTTCTATGAGATATCCTGTCTGACCAAAAAATGGAAGAAGTGATACAGCACCACAGTCTTATTGCAATTTGACTCAATGCAACGGTAAGACATGTAAGCGGATTGGGAAAGACTTTATTTGCTACTGCATGGTGCAGAGGCAGCCCACTCCTTGGCAGCTTCTGACTTCATCCTCTCCCTTCTCAATACTGATAAAAGCAAACCGCAAACAGTCATCTCCATTACACTACACGCCTACATGGAATGGTGTTTCAACAGCGTTGGATTTAATCCCTATCGTACAATAGGACTGTGTATGCTTCTATTTTCAACATTTGGCACATAAATCTTACACTTTCATGGGACTGAGAATTTGGGATTTCGGTTTACACAGTTATTTACTAAAGTGAATTTCAAATGTAAGACCAGGGTAGCCAAAAGGAAAGCATAGCTCACTTGGAGTCTTTTTCCAGTTCATCTATTTTGACCTTTAATTTGCATTTCACTTTAAATTCTTATTTTAGTTAATAACCCTGAACATATTCATTCTCACCAATAAACCCACTCCGGTACACATGAATAAGTTCTAAAATCTAAGAGTCCTCATGTAAATGCTTGACTCAATGGTATAGGTTATTGACAAAATATTAATTGGACACCTTCCCCCTTAAATATCCAGTGGCATTAAACATCAGCAGCAAAATGTCAGTAGTTAAACACCTGCTCAGCACAAAATCATGAACTTAAAATAATTTTCCCCTTCTTGTATGTATTGTTTTTTATTTGACATAGAGAGCAGCAGAGTTGGAGGGGTGAATAATTAAAGTAGCCTGTGTCTTTATAGGAATGTTTGTATAGGTGAATGTCTGTATGTGTCTTTGTATAATATATGTGAAGGTGAGTGCCTATGAATCTATATACTTGATGTAGCTCAACTGCAATATTGCAGTCATCTCCAGATCTCCACAGACCTGCCACGGGTGGTCTTTGTATGTAATTACTTCCAGAAGTACATCATGGCCTACAGGAATTGTAGGAAGAAAATTGTCATTGTGCTACAACACAGCATTTAAACTAAGCTTTAAGAAGTCTATGAATAGCCTTTATTTCTGTGGGTTGAGCTCCACAATTCAAAGCTGTTTTCAAACCATTGACATTAAAGCCAACATCAAGGTTATTTTCCTTTTTAAAATATGGACGCAATAATTTTTGCCACCCACTCCGGTACACAGACACATTGACATAAGTTTGTAAAAGATTTCATTGTTGTTTCCTTGATCCTAGAAGAAATGCTGTCTTTTGCTAGATCAAGGTCTCAAATTAGGTCACTAAGTTCTTGTTGAGTAATTTTGTGTGGTTCACTCAGCGACTCTGGTTGTGGCACAAAATCAGGATCGTGAGACAGCTCTACTCTTCTGTAGGTACAGGTAGATCATACCAATGTGGCACTGATTGGATAACTGATGGGGTGTTGGAAAACTCCTGACACCCCATCAGCTATTTATTGTTTACATGCCAGGAGGTACCATGCAGAAATAGCAGGCATGTATATGATTTGTGGGCTCTCTCCAAAAGGCATTGGAAATCCTTTTTTAGTTAACCTTCTACATAGATTACAGAACATGTATTGCAGCAAATATGAGGTGCACAGTGTTTGTGGGCTGCCTTCACGGGTAGAGGAATTAGCTTTTCTGGGTGGAAAGTATCACAAACCAAAAACACAAATTGTCAGTAATGTTAAAACATTTATGTGGAATCCTGGCTTGAGTGAGCATAACCACAAAAGTAAAAACATTCAACAGAACAACGATCTAACCTTCATTTCATGCAAACTATACACAGACAATAAAGAAACAAGGCTTACAGTGACTCATCATTCCTGTACTCTATACTCATACCTTACATCATCATAAATGGGTTATGTCTCAGGGTTGAGAGCTAATGGATAGTTTTAAATGTCATATTCTTGTTTTCGTGTGCTGAAATCAATTAGAAGCAAGTATTTTCAACTCCGAAACATTTTTACTTTTAAACAGTGTTTTAGATTGGCTTGTTTGTTGAACAACCTCAAAACGAGATAGGAAAAGGCCTCGCTGATTACGAAGTTATTTAAAGGCATGTAGAGTTTTTGACTAATGCGAGAACTGTCAGGAATTCAAAGTGAATTCAAAAAGTATTTCAAATGTATGGCTAAAATATTCAAACTGAACGCATAGCTAACTTGGAGAATTTTTCCTGTTCAATACAAATGTGAACTGTAAAATTCACTTTGGCTTCTCACTGTCGTGAAGTACGCTAAAAGTGCGTGATTATGACAGATGGCATATTTGCTAGTGTGTAGATGGGTCATTGCGTAAGGTTAAGATGGCAAAGACTGCTCCTTCAGTCCCATCATACAAAGTCAGCCCACTAAGATTATACATATAAGCCACGTGTACACATTCTGTCAATATCAGTCTTTTAAATGTGTCTTCCAATAAAATTTCATAGGAAGCTGTATACTATTAATATTGTTATTTTTGATATTTATAAAGTATCAACACATTCTACAGCATCATACAATAGACGGACTAGCAAACAAGTAGCTGCAACAAGGTAAATTGGATTACAGTAAAAGAGAATAGTGAAAAACCTGCTCATATTAGCTTACAATATACCAGAGTTATTTACTAAAGTGATAATTCAACGTCAGTTTCATATTTAGAGACATGCAGTAAGCACAAAAAAACAACTTTAGTTTAGTAGAGCTGTCCTGGCATATAGTTCATGCCACTGCAGTCTCACTGCTCAATTCTCTGCCGTTTAGGAGTTAAATCACTTTGTTCATACACCTTAATAACACCTTCCGGCATGTGATTTGAACAGCCTTCCTAAACACTTCCCTGAAAGAGAGATGTAAAGGTTAAACTTCCTTTATATTTCCTAAAATTCTTTTTAACTTGGAATTTCTTATATTGTGCTCTGTTTAAAAAAAACAAAAAAACAAAAGATTCCCGTGTGTGGGATTAAAGTTCAATTCACAGGGCAAAAGATACCAATGTCTAAAAGAAGTTCTCATCGGATTGAACATAAAACCAACTTTTCATGCTGGATGTGTCATTCACCAGCCAATGGAGGTGTGTCTAGAGCTGCATAAACAGAAACAAAAGTGATTTGTTAGCTCTGTAATCACATTAGGATAACCCTTAGGAAAGCATTGAAACCGTGCATGAGGTTTTAGCTGATGATGGATGTCCTCATGCAGACGGTGAGGACGTCCAATGTCCGTTATGAGACCACGACCTCGAAGTCCCTCTAGTGGCTGTCTGCAGTTATCCCTGCAGGTAATAATTGCAGTTTATCAAAAACTGCAATAATTGCCATTGCAGGATTAAACTGACAGGGACAGTGCACCCAGACCACTTCAATGAGCAGAAGTGGTCTGGGTGCCTATAGTGTCCATTTTAGCAAAATCTGTTTCGATGCCAATAGTATGCCTTTTAAAGGATCACTATAGAGTCAGGAACACAAATGTATTCCTGACCCTATAGTGTTAAAACCACCATCTAGCCCGCCTGGGCCTCTCATGCCTCCATAAATATAGCAAAATCTTACTGTATTCAAGCCTGAAGCTGTAACTCTGCATGCTGTTTGACTCAGAAAAACAAGTAGTCTGCTGACATCATCATAAGTGGTAGTCTGATCCAATCACAATGCTTCCCCATAGGATTGGCTGAGACTGACAAAGAGGCAGAGCCAGCATGATTCAAACACAGCCCTGGCCAACCAGCATCTCCTCATAGAGACTAATTGAATCAATGAATCTCTATGAGGAAAGTTCAGTGTCTGCATGCAGAGGGTGGAGACACTGAAAGTTTGGATGCATTTTAGGCAGCCATGACCCAGGGAGGCTCTCTAACAGCTATCTAAGGAGTGGCCATGTGAAGTTATCATTAGGCTGTAATGTAAACACTGCATTTTCTCTGAAAAGACTGTTTACAGCAAAAAGCTTAAAGGTAATGATCCTACTCACCAGAACAAATTCAAGAAGCTGTAGTTCTGGTGACTGTTGTGTCCCTTTAAGCGTTTGGGCTCTGTAACGTATTCCTACTATTATTGGTACATTTCCACCCCTGATGCTTCTACATCATCACCAGTATCATCACGTACCAGACATTGAGTGGGCCAGAGGATCTTGAGCCTGATAAATTACACTTTCATGTATCAATTAGTAAAAGCACCAACTAGAATAGATGCCTGTTTGGAACTTATAATAACTAATAATGTTCACCTCTTTTAAAACATTCAAGTTAGGAGGGACTTCAGAAATAGTGACCATAACATAATTCTAGATTAACTTTTAAAAACACATTTGTTTGGGCTTTACAAAATGCTTAATTTTAAAAAGGCTAATTTGTAACAAATTGACTGATCGGAACTATCCAATGGCAAAAGCACAGAGAATAAACCGAAAGTCTTCAAAGAAAGTCTACAAAAGTATTTTTCTCATTATATATCATTGGGAAACAAATATAGAAAAAAAGCAAATAAAATGTGGCTTACTAAGGGGGTGAGTCAAGTAATAAACAATAAAAAATAGCATTTAAAATATGTCATTAAGATTGGACAATAGCATATTCCAACAACA